GGATACAAGTCATATCAGAGGAGGGAACATGCTAATGGCTTCAATTTAACTTGATGATCTCTGTAAAGACCTATTTCCAAATAAGGTCACATTCAGAGATACTGGGGGTTAGGACTTCAATATATGAATTGGGGGGGGCACAATTCAACCCCTAAAACTTGGAAAAATATAAGTGAAAATCAGAATTGCTTTCTAACTTTTATCAGAGGACTGTGTTTCTTTGTATGGTTTTTTTGCACAATAGCCCAGGAATATTGAGTTGTACAGAAGAGAATAATGGGAGGGTGGAAGGGGAGAAGGGGAGGGAGAAAAGGAGCTAGAAGAAAAAGAGAAGGAGAAGGGGAAGGAGAAAAGAGGAAGAGCAGTGATCTAGGTCAGACCACCAAACCTGCACCAGTTTCAGAGATTGGTGAGAATGACAACTCACTACTCAGCTAAGTTTGCTTTAATTTTGGTTTATTATAAAACCCAAGAAGCATTGCACAGGATATACACAGAATTAATACAAATGCTTCGTGGCCCCCTGATACCTTCCCTTGTGTCTCATAGAAGGATACCCCAAGTCTGGTAGATTCAGATGCTCTTGTGCAACGAAGCATTTGCCAGGCAGAGAGCCATGGCTCTCTGCCCTTTACACCATCAGGATGGACACGGGGGCATGCCACACCCGTATTTAATGGTCCACCCAGTAAGGAAATCCTTGCCCAGTGTGATCATTACATATTTGCACCTTTCATTTCTTACTGCCTTCTGGAGCTGGCTGGAGGTCTCAGTGCAGTAAGACTGCTACTAAAGGAAGTCTGACAAGAGTTTGTTTTGTTCATTCAGGCAGCACGTCAGCTATAAAAAGAGGCGGTGCTGAGTCAAAGTGAGAACCGAAGGGAGAATCAGGGCTCTGTGGCCTCTCAGGGCCTTCCGGCTTCTTAGCTAGCTGACCATGCATACAGCCAGGTTATGAGGACACAAAAGGCAAAATCACAGAAGGCAGGGTGAATTTCCCCAGACACAGTAGACTGCGAAGAAGCACTGTGGTTAAAGCTTCATAGGAGAGCAGGGGGATAAAATTAATACACTTGTACAGGTGATGGGCCTGGAATAAACTACAGGCCCAGCGACCTTGGCCCCACATTGTGGCTGCTGTTTTAGAGAGCAGGCACTCCCAGTCCGGTGCTGGCCAAATCTGCTAAGTAGCAGAAGCAGTAGCAGAAGCAGGTAATTCTGATGCACACTAAAGTCTGAGAACCACTAATCTGAATTCTACAACCCAAACCAAATTAGATAGGGTTCTAAGAGAATTTTGTTTTCTTATCAGCAACTATGTTACTGTGTAGGACAGGTAAGACAATAGAGAATATAGGTTTTATTCTCTACGTTGCCTATGACAGAGTCAAAGGGAAGAAAAGCAAGTGAGTTTGCAGGACCAATTTAACCCTTTCATGTGTAATTCAAGTTCTTCCCCTCAAGTCTTCAATTGCTTTCTAAGTACAAACTTCTAGATCTTTCCCCAAAAATGGAGTGATCTAAATTATGTATGACTACACCTTTGATTCCTATTTAGTTAATTTGCATTTTGTCATTTTAATGTCTTCAGCATGGAAAAGGGACTTAGTTGCCAGAGCGACCAGGAATAGTATTTAAACAGTTTGGCCTTTACCTTACCCCTACTTGGTCAATCTCACTGTGTTCTTGGCTCACCTAACTTTTGTGGTCACAAGAATGCAAAACAGTAAAGTTCTGCTGGCTGCTTCTCCCTATTTTGTCTCTAGGAAGTCACATGAACCTGTTTACACTCTCCTAAATTTACTAACATAACTCATTTTATTTTTACCAGCTAACTTTGCTGCCTTGACTCCTCCCTCTTTGATTAACACTGCCCACTACTCAAAGCCCACCACTCGGTTTTCCAGTTTAGAATCTAGCCTCCAGAGATGGGCTGGCTTATGCACAAGCCCAAAATAGGGCTTGAAGTGCAGTTCTGGAAAGGAGCCCTGCCCTGGAAGCGGGAAGCCTGGTTTGGGCCTCTCCTCTGCTAAGACAATATTGAGCAAGTCCCTTCTCCTCTCTGGGCCCCAGTCGCCGGTGTTATACAATGGAAAGACACGATGAACTCTCGGCCCCTCCAGCTCGGGCATCCCAAGGCTCCCTGGTTTTCCTCTGTTGGGTAAGTGATCATACAGCATGGATTTCTTGGGAGCAGTGCCACTTTTGTAATTCCTGGCACCATGACCCACCTACCATGAGCGTGTGAGCTCTTAAACTTTGGTCTCAACTACTGATTTCGCTAATAGTTGCGGGGGCCTTGAGAGTGTTTCCTGTCTGGTCTCTCCATATACACATAGCTACTTAGAACTGGTAGCCCCAGGTGGGACTAAAATTCTAGCATCCAAATGCCCAGCCCTTTTAAGCTATGAGAGACTGTGCCAGGTCATTTGTAAAACCCCAATAGAAGGGCATGGCCCACAGGGATCAACAAATATCGAGTGAATAAACATTGTGCTTTCTCTACGACCACAAGAGCCCCGTACAGTGAACAAAGCTCAGGCCTGAAATAAAGAAATCGGATTCCTTCCACAGTGCCGAAAACCTCCAACTAAAGCCACGTAATGCTTGAAGCATACCAAATGATTGAGTGGCACTTTCTTGGAGTTGTGTTATTTTTAAAAGCTCTATCGTGGAAGCTCTCTAATACTGTGACATCCTTCCCTCACCCTCACCACAAAATACGTAATAATCCATCTTTGTAACTCCACTGGGCAGGTCAGGGATCTGGAGTTAAATCTCAGCCCCTTCACTTATAAGTAAATGTTTTGAGCTTCAGTTTCCTCTTGTATAAAATGGGGCAAACAGTAAATTCCTCATTAGATTATTGATCCAACAAGAAACCTCTATCTCGAAAATTATGGAGAATAAGCACTTAGCTGTTAGCTAGTTCACAACGCATTGTTGGCTCATTCTTCTCACTTAATATTACTTGGTGGGAATTATAATACTAATAGTCATTTACATATAAAAAATAAGACCCAGAGAAAGGAAGTGAGTCCCCCATGTTCTCACAACTGGTAAACGACAGGGCCAGCAGCTGAACTCTGGTCAGTCACACTTTCAAGCCTACAGGATGGGCAGGAAGCGCAGAAAGTTTGGAAGGCCTGGTGGTACACCGGAAGAGTCAAACAAACTTGGTCCTGTCCCCTCTCCTGCAGCATCCAAGGGGAGGGGCGATGCAGTTCTGAAGCTCCCCAAGGGCAGCTGAAGGGAATCAAGAGCATGACACCATGCATATCGGAACTCCACATACTGTATTTTCTGTTGAATGAAGCCAGCTTTGTAGACATTTCCATCCATTTTCACTTGATGCCAATATTGCGTTTCAGACTGTCTTTTTCAATTCTTCCAGTGAGGACATTAGCACCTGGAAAAAGAACTGGAGCCTAGACTAGAACAGATGTGAAAAGAAGCTATGGCATGTTTCACCTCTCCTGGGAACAAATCTCTCAACTATTGTTTCACTGAAATGAGTTCAGGGTACTACTGTGCCCAGATTATCCTAGTCTTTCCATCCTGGACTAGTCTCAGGGACTCGCCCTTTCCCTAACGTGGTTGTTCCCCAATGACTTAAAAGGCTCTGTCCAACCTGCAGTTTAAGTGGAATAAACTTGTCACAAAAGGACAAAATACTGTATGATTCCACTCATATGAGGTGCTTACAGAGTCAAATTCATAGAGACAGAAAGCAGAATGGTGGTGCCAGGGAGCAGGAAGGGGGAGAGGCATTACTATTTAGCGGGCTTTCAGTTTTCTTCTGGAGATGGATAGTGGTGATGGTTGCACAACAATATTAATGTACTTAATAAATACTACTGACTTACACACTTAAAAATGGTTGAGATGGTATGTTTTATGTTATGTGCAATTTACCACAATTTTTAAAAATTGAAAAAGAGAACAGCTTGAACACTAGGATTATACAGCATTGTATCAACACAGCCAAAACTAGATACAAAATAGATGTATATCTTCGTGCCCAACTCCTAATTTTCCTTCTGCTGAATAAAGCATCTCCTTGCTCTGCTAATGAAAACTAGCATTTTCTTATAAGTCACTAGCTCAGAAAATTCAGAGATTTTCCACTATTAATCCACTAGAGACCACTGCTGGGCAGACAGATCTAACAGGCAGCACTGTGCAGGAAAGAGAATGTACCCCTCATGACCCAACAGCTCCCCCAAGTGGCTTCAGCAGTTCCCCCAGAGGAAAACAGACCCCTTTAAACAGAGGAACAGACTTCTTTTCCATAACTTTTAGCTATTTTTGGTACCACCAACCTGAATATCAGAAGAAAAAAAAAAATCTGTTATACATACTTTAATTTCTTCCAAATAATTTGAGATCTTCTTCCGCTGAATCTCAAAATGAAGATACCTATTTCAAGCAATAAGCAATTCCCAGATCCAAGGGAACCAGTTTTTCATAATTTTTTTCCAATAACTTGCCATTCATAAGGATTTACTAGAGCACACTCACCCATAGAGTGCCCCAGGAAATCTTTTTTAAAGATACATACTTTAACCATTTAAATTTGGTACTTTGGACCTAAATTTACCTTACAGCCAGGACTTAAGAAAAACACTTATGAAACTGCTTAACTGTCTAGGAATTTTTTAAAGCTTCCTTTACGAGAGATGTTTTTTAAGTTATCTGCTTTTTAACTAATATATCTCTTTATCATGCTGTAATTTTGCTGGACGCCTAGGGCATTTCATGTGGATCTCAGAAATTCTGGTTTAGGGTTCTAGACTCTTGAAATACACATACCTTCTCTTGGTATTTCCTAGGGTTTATCAGAAACTGAATGTTTACGCCCAGAATGGCAGCAGAAGCAAACTAAAACTTCAAACTTTTTTGTGTGGGTTGGAATTATATCAACTCAGTCTAGAAATGTTGATATTCACTCTGATTAGAAATGTCTTTAATTTTCAAAATAAAAACAAAATTTGATTTGATATATTCAATTATCAAATGATTTATTTCAAAATAGGTTTAGAAACAACTGGTAAATAGATGGAAACTCCTGGTGTACATTCACAGAATTAAGAACTGGGAGAAAATAAGAAGCAAAATATTGTCTGCGGTTTTAGAGACAAAAAAAAAAACCAAAATGAGCAAACATTTCATCTAAGATTTCTGATTTATCACTTCTATGATTACTCCCCTGGGTACCAGATGCCTTTGAAAACAGATTTGCCTGATGGAGTCATAGGCACAATCCTTGAAAACCACAGAGCACCCAAAATGACAATCACCAGGACAGAATTACCTAGGAGAAAACAAGCCAAGGCCAATTATAGAACCTTGGATTTGAATGATTACATGATCATTTAAGAAACTGTCAATCCAATAATCTCCACAAGACATTTAGACATGTTTTCTACATATCAAAAGGCAGAGACTAAAGGCCCTGGCATCAACAATAAGACTTGATATAAATGAATTAAAAAGTTTATTAGCCATAGAAAAACATCTATTCCTTAAAATCAATTCTCGATAAGTTCTCTGTAAAACAGTAAGCTTACAGAAAATGTCTTTCTCATGAACAGAAAATCACCATGCTTTTGGTCCAAGATATGTTGGGTTTTTCTCCTTCAGATGATAGACAGATGGATGTAGCCAAATCTATGAACGAGTGTACTTGCCCCAAATGTGCAACATAAATACAGAAGCGATGAACAGAAGACTCATAACCAATACTGGAACAGGACCACTGAAAATAAGAAGGAGAGGCACGTTTACTTTCAGTGATAATACATTATTATATCTGTAATACTAAAGATTGCCTGGAGGAAGGGAGGAGGGGGAGAGCACCTAAGGTACATCCAAGAGTATTATTTACATCATTACAAAATAGTCCCCAAATTATTATTGTGGACATTTTAAGGGTGTGGTGATAGCATTCTTGTTATTTTGACCAGAAGAATCCTTATCCTTTAGTAAAATGTACTAAAATATATACAAATAAAATGATCAGATGTATTTTGAGACACTAGTCAAATTTCATGTATTTGATATTTTCCATAATAAAAACAAGTAAAATTTCCCAAACCTCTTTAAGTGCAAATGATCCAAATATCAAACTATTATTTCAAATTAAGATTATTATTTAAAGACAATCTTCATTGTCTAACTACAATATACTACGAAAACAAAGATGAGAACCACATTATAAGTTACAAAGTGTTTTCAAATATATAATTCCATTTAATCAACAAATTCACATATTAATCTCAATTTACATATGGAAAACTGAGGCCAGAGAGATTATTTGCTTTAGAAAACACAGCCAGAATTAGAGACCTGAACTTGAGTTTTCTGATTCCACACATATTGCTCATTTCACTGCTTTAAGATTTCCATCTTCAATGCTCGGACATTCTGGGCAACATGTGTTCAGTTTGATTTATGAGTTTACTGTAGGAAGGAAATAGACTTTACTCATCATCCCTTACCTAAATCAAATGCTTTTCAAGTTGAGAATTGGTACATAAGTTTCTTACAGGGAGAACGCCTTAAGTTTACACCACCTGTAAATGCTGACTTTAGTAAAATGTTACAGACCCCGCCTTTTTGACTCTTCCTGCAAACAATGGTTTTGAATTCAAGATGTCACTTCACCTCTTGGATACAACTAGGGAGTGGAAGTAGAAAGACCCCAGAAATCTTAACGATTAAGGCAGTGGAGTAACCCAGTGGTGCAGCAGGTAACAGAATCCTCCAGTGAACAATAACAAAAGAGATCGAAGCCCTTACTATATACTATTTTGTTCTTTGAAAACCTGCACAATTACGAGAGTAAACGAATTTAAAAATATATGGGAAGAGATCTTCATCATATTACAGCTGTTCACACTCTCTACTTTAAAGCAACGTTAGAGTAACATCCGCCACAGAGCATAAAGCTGAAAGTGCAGCTCTGAGTTCAAGTGCCAAAGTCCGAAAGCCAACTCCATCAATTATGAGCTATGACTGTGGCCCTCTTATTTAACCTTCTCCAAGCCCAGTTACCTCATCTGTAAAGTAGTGATGATTGTAGTACCTCTCATAGGATCGCTGAGGTATTAAATAAATACACACACAATGTGAGTGTATTAAAAATCAGATTATAATAAGCTCTCAGAAAACGCTATTATCATCAACCTGAAAAAAATTCTAAACTCTTACAAAGAGCCAACGAGCTGTAAGATGTTACTTGACTGTTCCAAGATGTGGATTTGTGGATACTAATTCTCAACTGTGTCCTCTCACCAAAAACGTCTCTCTCTGGCGTGATGAGACTGTGCTTAATGACACTTCAAGGACCAGCTTCTATCGATTCCTAGGAATACTCAAGCAGTAGTACGCCTGGCTGCAGGACAGTGAAAACCCAGAGCAAGCACAAGTGAGACTCACCCACAAGAGAGCAGCTTTACCGACTTCTTGTGAAGGGTTTAATTAGAGGCCCCTGGATACCCTAAAGAGCAAGGGCTTCAAAATGTCTCTCTGAAATACTCAGAAAACTTACCTCTACCAAAGACCAAAGGTTGTTTGAATGCCATCAATTCACATATCCCCAACTGCAACAACTATTTCCTAAAAACATGCTCATCTTACAAGTCTTCAAGAATTCTGGGTAAGTCTTCATAAACTAAATTTGTGATCTAAGCCAAGCTATTGGTCAAGTTAATTAAACTAATCCAAATAAATCTAATTTTGTCTCTTCTACCAGACAGGTGGTATGGGATTGAACAGTCTGAATATTTGGTTCCAGTTCTGGCTAGCTAGCTTATCTTTGACACATAACTTTGTCTCCCTAAGCCTGAGCTTCTGAACCTGCAGTTCTGTGCAAACTGTCATTATTCCAATTCCTCATCCACTGGGTGTAGTCAGGAAACAGCTGTACACAGAGCTGTCCTGGAGCCGATTTGACCAGAAACCTGTGGGATCAGGTCGGCTATACAGTACCAGAAACTCTAGAAAGCGAGGTGAAGAAGGCATGGAGACAAGGATCCCCCAGATGCCCATTCCTAGCACCTAATGAGCATTCTGAGCCTTAAGAACTTGGAAAGTGAGATGTTCACCCTCCTGGGTCTACTCACCACCCGTGAAAGGTAAGGAGGCCAAAGAACTTTCAGTAATGCAGCCTAATGCAGCAACTTCCATTAGGCTCTAATAATGTCAGCTTATGCCTCCAGGGGAGCTTTGAAAAATCACCCAACTCGTGTTCACATGTCACCCCTATTTCTCAGGGTGAGACAAGAACACCAAATGAAGAGCAATTTCATCTAGTTAAGCAGTTTTCCCTCCAGTTCTCTCTATTCTCATAATTTATTATGACATAGCTACATGAAGATTTTCCCTTGCTTTCACTCAATCCATGAAGAGATGTTATTCTAGGCACTAAACTAATTGGCTGATATACAGACAAACCAAACCCAGCCCACCTGGCACAATGAAGCTGTCATATATTGTCAATTTCATCAAAGCAAACACCCTTGGTGGTAGACAGAGTGCTGCCAAGCGGCTCTGGGATACTAGACAGAGACACAAGGTCTGCTCCCAAGACTTACACTTTGAGGCCAGGCGAATCTTCCGTGTAGAATCGCCACATCCCCCCAGTGCCGGCTGAGGTTGTGCGGCCTGCGCTCCTTGTTCCGCAGCTGGCATTTTTCCTGTAAGAGAAAAAGTGCTACAAACAGCCTTTTCTTGGGAACCCTTATAATGACAATATTACATATGCTACCATTACACTGTTAAAGAACCGAAAAAAAGAAAATGCTTTTCGTTAGTACATCCCATATTCTTGTTTTTACTCCACTGGTCATGATAACCACTATGAACTGAGTACCTGCCATATGGTAATGCATACGATAACCCTGGAGAGTAGTTACCATTTCTGTTTGAAACATGAGGAAATGAGGCTCAGAAAAGATTATGCAAAGTGCCTAAGACCATACAGCCAGCAGGTGGCCGAGCTGGGCTGTAGACCCAGTTTTGACTCCACAGCCCATCCACTTGCCCACACATACAGGCAGCTAATTTAGACGATGTATTTCAACTTCTGTTCACATGTATCTTTGTGAAGTCAAGTAATAAACACCTACTCTAAAATGCCCTGAATCTATATACAGTTGACCCTTAACAACATGGATTTGAACTATGTGGCTCTACTGATATGCAGTTTTCAATAAACACCATAAATGTATTTTCTCTTCTTTATGATTTAACATTTTTCTCTAGCACACTTTATTGTTAAGAATATAGTATATAATACATATATATGTGTTAATCAACTGTTTATATTATTGGCAAGGCTTCCTGTCAACAGTAGGCTATTAGTAGTTAACTTTTTGGAGAGTCAAAAGTTATATGTGAATTTTCGACTGTGGGGCAGTAGGTGGGTGGGTGGTGTGGCACCCCTGTTGTTCAAGGGTCAACTATAATCTGATTTTTAAATGACTACTTTAAAATGTTTTTAAATTACTATATTTGCTACAAGAGACAAAAACATTAAGCTTTAATTGTACCAAGTTCCAAAATGGAGCATATATTTTACAAAAAAAAATTTTGTAATCATTTCACTATTTTGATATACTGACCATAGATTGTTGACAGTAAGACAGGATGTGAAAAAGTACAGAAAACACCCAACCAGAACTTGTCCCTCACAAGGGGATCAAAGCCCGTGACATGAGCTGTGTGAGGCAGGCAGTCCTGGCATACTGACGGACAGAGCCTAACAGCACTTAGGCCATGGACCAGAACAGGCCCAGGAACCTTTCCCTCTCCTCCTCAGTCACTGGGGAAGCCACTCAGCAACTATTCTCCCACAAGGCACTACTCCCATCCACTTCTCATCTCGCCTCAGGGCTAGAGTGCTACAGCATGAGAGTAAGTACTAAAGGTGAGAGAAGTCAGAAGAAGTCTTCTGCAGTCCATTTATCACCCACTCGGAAATTCTAGGTAAGGGGAAAGGAAGAGAGAGGGTAAGCTCTGTCCCATCACTGCCCCTCACCATTAACCAAAACCTAGTATACCCGCCCTTAAAATCCCATTCCAGTTATCTGTGGGCTACTGATTCCGAATTTTTTTAAAAAAGAAGGGCACAGAGGAAGAAACCAGAAGTGAAAACCCGATCTTCACCAGCTCTTCTCACTGTCCTCCCAGTTCTGGTCCTAATCCCCACCTCACCTCACCCTGGCACGGACTTTACCCCACACTTTAATGGAAAAAGCACTGGTTAGAGATCAGGGAGCTTGCCCTGCTGCGTGAAATAGAAGAGTGGAGTTCTGGCTCCAGTTTGGGTTCCAGCAAAAGTGCTGTGTTCATGCTAGAACTGTGAGAGCAATCAGCGTCAAACAATAATTTGGATCTACTGTACTACAAAGATTATATTTCAGATACATTAATTATTGGTTACATGGTGGCATGGGAACTTATAACTCCATTTGTTTGACTGTTTCTATGGGAAAACTGATTGTAAACATACTGTATAGGGGTTTACAAAGTAATCCATACTCTTAGAAGAACTTTCACACCCCGAGATACACATCATTAATCTGTGGGGCAGGTACCTAAAATTTTCTTCCTTGTTTATTAAAGGGAACTTGAGCTAGACAGTAAACCCCGTGTGGACATAATAAGTGACAGGCTGAGCGAGGACAAGGACCCATGTGCTTTCCACTATTCCCATAACCTTCAAACTCCAGATCCTGTCTTCAAAATCTCCTGGAATTACAGGAGCTCCAAAGGAATCAGTCTGGACTCTTTTAAGATTTCTTACATCTGCTGGCACATGGAATACAGAAGAGGATTTGAAAGTCAGGGTCCCTAATTCCACCACTCTATAGCCCCCACCCGGGCTTACTTTTCTTCATAGCCCTTCTTGCGTAAAATCACCTTATTTATTCATTTGACTTGCTGACAGTCTCCCACACTGGAATATTAAGGTTCATGAGACCACACCCTGCCTATCTTGTTCAGAGATACATCTTCAGAGCTGAAACAGTGCCTGGCATGTTCCTTCAATAACTATTGATGACTATCTTACCATCCCTTGCTGTTCCATCATCTTAATATCTCTGATTCCCATTAGGCCTGCTTGAATACTGTGGAGCACTTTACACTTTATAGTGCATTATTGTTCCTTTCCATCCTCATAGCACTTTCCTTTTATACTACATTAGAAAAGAGCAAGGACTTCAACCCCAATCTGACCTTAAATCCCATAACGTTTCTTCTCCAAGGTTAATACTATCTCTATCACCTCACTGAGCATGGAGAGAGAATGCAAATCTGTTCAGAATTGCTTTTCACAGTTTATCAAAATTGCTTTCCTCTGAGCTGAAATCTGCCTCAGTAAAGTTCAAATTATCAGTTTTAGATTTATCTACTGTAGCCGACAAAGTCTCATCATTCTTCACATCCTTACAAAGAGGTTTCACGTATCTCCTTTCAAGGTCTTACCCTCTCTAGATAAAACCCCAGTAGTTCCTCCAAAAATCCAAAACAAAAGGGTTGCCTGATTCCTTCATTCATTTATCATTTATTGTGTCGGGCCTCACAGTAAAATAGAGATGACTTGGACAGTTTCTGTCTAAGTCTAATGAAAGAGATAAACACAGAAACAAATGATACCATGATATGAATGAAGTGCTTTGAGAATAAAAGGGAAAACTAGTAGCTACTGCTGCTTTCAGAGTCAGGAAAGGCCTCAAGTGGAAATAACTCTGAGCTTAATCTTGGGAGAATAAATAGAAATTTGTGTGAGTGTTGGGGGTGGGGTCTAGTGAGTTCAGAAAAGAGTAATAAGCTCCCTGTTGCTGGATCACAGGGAAGTGGGAGAAGAGAGGCTGCTGAAAAAATAACCAAGAACCTCTGTCTCCCCCTCGCCCCTTTTTAAGTTCAGCAAAAAAAAAATGAAAAAAAAAGAAAAAATAAAGAAAGAAAGAAAAAAAAAAAAAAAACAGAGAAACTAAGTAGAAGAGGGACAGAATCAGAGCACAGTATTGATTGGAGCGGAAATGACCTGGAGAGTAGAAGAGTTAGGCAGAAAATGCAAACGTCTAGATGAAGAGGAGCTGACCGCTAAATTGGGGCAATAGAAATGGAGACAAAAAGAAATGAGGTTTTTCATGTGTAATTTAAAGTCTGACAAATGACTGGATAGAGACAGAGCATAAGAAAAATCCAAGATGACGCTTAAGTTCTGGCTTTGGGTGAACGAGTGTACGGCAGTGCCATATGGAATTAAGGAAATATAACTAGGGGTAGGCTAGGGCTGAAATGATCCGAGACTGAGTTTTGTGTCCGACAAATCATGTTAAATTAAGTGTGTATGGGACCTCCAGGTAGAAATGTGAGTGCAAAGCTCAGAGCCAAAGACATCAGTTCAACGACATCAGTTTTGTCAAAGTTGTGTCTGACCCTATTTCAATTTAACTTTCCTTTAGTGGTAGCAGAAACTGTGCAATGCGAAGAAAATGTTACTTCCGTCTCCAGACACAAAAGACCAGAAGCCCATTACTCCTACTACCACGTCACCTGAGGCTCATTTTGCCCTTGTGAATCTTAAAATCCCGAAGTCTCCTTCTCAAGACCAGCGAATTCTTGGGCCGCATCTGTCCGAGCCCACAGCCAAGAGGGTCGCAGGGATCCTTACCTCTGCCGGACGGTGGAACCCGCCGCCCGGGCGGCCACTGCTTTACTGGGAGAGCGTCCTGAGGAGCCCACGTTAGTGCCACTGGGGGTCGGACCAGGCTGTAAAGGGAGACAAGGTGACAGTCAGGTGAGCGCTGCCCGCCAGCCCCCAGCACCGCGGCCCTGACAGCCGAGACCTGCACCTGAACAGGATGGAGGGAATAGCAAGGAAACCACGGAAGGAGGGCAAGGCGCAAGGTAGAAGTCAGGGAGCCAGGGAGAAGCAGGGTCTAAGGAGGGACAGATAGAGGCACCATACCATGCTGGAAACTGGAGGATGGCAAGAGGCTGAAGCACAGCACGGGAAAGCGATGGAGATCTCAAAGGACCGGCGGCTGGAGAAACTGGGTCAGGCCCCGCCCCGCCCCGAAACCTGCTGGCAGGGTCCTCGCTGACTCCAAGGACGCCTGGGTTGTCCCACCACATGCCTGTAGAAATTTTGCTACAGGCGACTTGGTCAGCTGCTGTGTGAAAAGTACAGACACTTAGTCTCCTTTCTTTGGATTACAGAGTCCTTCATAGAGTCCAGTCCCTACCAAAGGGAAGATATAGCCATGGTCAGACGAGAAAGTTTTTCTACGGCAGCTACTAGACGCCCACAGATTTGCGCTGATGTGGCCGAGGCGACGCACGCGCTGCGGGGCGTGGTCAGCTCCGCAGTGGCCAGCTGGGAGCCGGGGGAAGGAGCAGGCGCTCAAGTCCCTAAGGGCGCCGGCGCAAGTTCCGGGCTGTGGTGGAGAAGCAGGCTCAGGACAAGGAGATGGGCCCCAACCCGTCGGTGCTGTTTCTGCACCCTGACCTGGGTGTGGGTGGTGCCGAGCGGCTGGTCCTGGACGCGGCGCTGGCACTGCAGGCGCGAGGGTGTAGCGTGAAGATCTGGACGGCACACTACGACCCGAGCCACTGCTTCGCCGAAAGCCGCGACCTACCGGTCCGCTGCGCTGGGGACTGGCTGCCGCGCAGCCTGGGCTGGGGCGGCCGTGGCGCCGCTGTCTGTGCCTACGTGCGCATGATCTTCCTGGCGCTCTACGTGCTCTTCCTCGGCGACGAGGAGTTCGACGTGGTTGTGTGCGACCAGGTGAGGCCTCCACGCCGGGCCCTCGCCGCGTCTCCTTTTCTCACTGTACAGGGCACACTCACTGCATGACCTCTGACGACCTCTCCCAGTCTGTGGTTCGGAAAGATTGGAACTGATCTGGAGAGATGAGAGCTAGGAGTGACTATAGTTCTCGTACTTCAGTGTGGACGCTTTAATGTTGCACGCTGTAGGGTCCCACCCTCAGAAGTTTCATCCAGGAGCCCTGAGGTGGGGCCCCGAAATCTTCGTTTTCAAACTGGCTCGTCGGATGATTCTGAAGCAGCTAGGACTTGGGGCTCTTTCTAAGAAACAAATGCATTAGAAATCAGCCTTCAGTCACCTTTTATTTCTGTAACTCGTTTGTCGTTTGTTTTCCTTCTGCGTTATTCCTGGTGATGCTACTTCTAGGCCAGAACATCCCACTGTTTGTAGCCTTTGGAGCCAGGCCATCCTGTTTCTCAGCAGTGTCATGTGTTAAAAACACCAAACTAAACATGTCATGTTTCTATTAAAACTTTAACGTGGCTCCCATTAGTTTTTGTAGGAAAGTCCAAATTCTTTCTTTTGGTGAAGACTGCTAGCCTGGATCTGGGCTCTAGCTATTCTAGATTCTTTATGTTTCCAACCACCACCCCCCGCCCCCCACCCAACCCCTCAAAAATTTTGTTTTAAAAAGTAACATTTACTGGGAATAAAAAATCAAATAATATAAAAAAGTATAATGTAAAAGTCCCATGCCAGTTCCACTCCCTAAAGTAGCCACTGTTAACAGTTTATCCTGTAGCCTTACAAAAATTGTCTATGGCTACAGCAGCATATGTGTGTCTGCTGATGAATAAATCTTCCTACTTGTAATTTAGGATTATGACACACCTACTATTGGACAACTTGCTTTTTTTCCACCCAGAATTTCTATTTGGGGCATCCTTATATATCAGGATTAGAGATTGACTTCTTTCCTTGTGGTAGCTGAAATCTGCTTTTTTGTGTGTGTGTAGCATAATTTATGCATTCTTCTGTTAAAAGACACTAGCAATGTGACCAGTTCTTTGTGAATAGAAGGAATGTCCTTGTACCTTTTACCTGTACTTAAGCAAGCTTGTCCTTTGAATAAATTCCTAGAAATAAAATTAGGTCGAAGAGTTGTTCATTTTAAATGTCAGTAGCTGTTGCCAAATTTGCCTTCCAAAGAAGTTGTGTCACTTCACTCTCCCTCATGTATGATAGAGCCTGTTGCTCCTTGCTTTTGTGCACGTTGGTTGTTATCAACCATTCTAATCTTTGCCAAACTGATAGGAGGAAACAGTATCACATTATTACTCCTGAGCTACTTTTGATCATCCTTGCTAGTGTGAAAGCTATTTTTAAGAAATGTGGACATTTGCCAAACACCCTGCATGTCTTAACTAGTCAGTAAGTGTGAGGCAGCTGAAACCGCGCAGGTAGAGAAAAAAACTGACCTTGGAAGTAGGAGACCGGGATTCAAGTTACATTTATCTACCACTTCCTAACTAAGCTTTGGATAAATCCCTCAATATCTCTAAAGCTTACCTGCCTCAGGTGTTTAGTGAGCTGAAGGTTAAGGGATTTGTAAAGACTACCGAAAGGAAAATCTAGTAATGCCAGCATGTAGTTCATGTTCAGTAATGATTATGGTTAACATTTATTGAGCATAGACTATGCACTAAATTCTTAACTGTTTACATATCCCATTGCATTTAATAATCGTAAAAACCGTATGAGTTTTTTGGTACTATAATTATCACCATGTTACAGAAGAGGAAATAGGCCCAGAGAGAGGTGGATTACTTGATCATAGTCACACAGCTAGCTAGTAGAGCTGAGATTCAAACCCTGCAATCTTGATTCCAGAGTCTGCACTCCAAACGACTGTAGTTCATTCATTCAGTTCCTTAGGAGAAGGAAGATCCTAGAGCAATTTTATCTAGTATGGTAGCCACTAGCTGCATGTGGCAATAGACACTTGAAATGTGACTGGTCTGAACTGAGAAGTGTAAAATACGCACCTGATTTTAAAGATTTAACGTGGAAAAACAATAAAATATGTCATTAACTTTTTAAGTATTGGTTATATTTTGAAACGGTAACATTTTAGATAAATGAAATATTTTAAAATTATTTTAACCCTTATAACATTTTTAATGTGGTTACTAGATTTTTATTTCTTGAACAGTGCTGTTCTAGAAGAAACTACTGGACTATAGCACATATCCAGCCTTCAACAATCCAAACATTGTACTGGGTGAGAGTCTGAGGACACAAAGCAGAATCTGACATTGGCCATGAGGAGCCTACAGACTAGCAGGCAGGGTGGGGTGTCTGTGCTTTCGATTTAATTGAAGTTAGTTGACCAGTCACTATTTGTTGTTGATTTTTGCTTTGACTAGGTGTCTGCCTGTATCCCAGTGTTCAAGCTGGCCAGACAGCCTAAGAAGATCCTGTTTTATTGTCACTTCCCAGATCTGCTGCTCACCAGGAGAGATTCTTTTCTTAAACGCCTGTACAGGGCCCCAATCGACTGGGTGGAGGAACACACCACAGGCATGGCAGACTGCATCTTGGTCAACAGCCAGTTCACAGCTGCCATTTTTAAGAAAACGTTCAGGTCCCTGTCTCACATAAACCCTGATGTCCTTTACCCATCTCTGAATGTCACCAGCTTTGACTCAGCTGTCCCTGAAAAGCTCGATGACCTGGTCCCCAAGGGAAAAAAATTCCTGTTCCTCTCCATCAACAGATATGAAAGGAAGAAAAATCTGACTTTGGCACTGGAAGCCCTAGTAAAGCTGCGTGGAAGATTGACAGCCCAAGACTGGGACAAAGTTCATCTGATCATAGCAGGTGGTTATGATGAGAGAGTCCTGGAGAACGTGGAACACTATCAAGAATTGAAGAAAATGGTCCAGCAGTCTGACCTTGACCAGTCTGTGACCTTCTTGCGGTCTTTTTCAGACAAACAGAAAATCTCACTCCTCCATGGCTGCACATGTGTGATTTACACACCAAGCAATGAGCACTTCGGCATCGTTCCTCTGGAGGCCATGTACATGCAGTGCCCAGTCATCGCTGTTAATTCAGGCGGGCCCTTAGAGTCCATTGTCCACAGCGTCACAGGGTTCCTTTGTGAGCCTGACCCAGTGCACTTCTCCGAAGCAATCGAAAAGTTCATCCATGAACCTTCCTTAAAAGCCTCGATGGGACTGGCTGGCAGAGCCAGGGTGAAGGAAAAGTTTTCCTCTGAAGCATTTAAAGAACAGCTTTACCAATATGTCACAAAACTGCTGGTATAATTAGATTTTTTAAAGGTATTTACGCTACTTTCATTAATATCCTATTTATGGATTGTAGACCCAGTTTTGAAACCATAAACCTAGAATCTAGTGGAGAAGAGTTTTAAAAAAAATACACTTGAACCTTGACTCCAAGCTACCTTCCTGTACACCATACCTTCCTATCTACTTTTTCAGAAAAATGCTTTTATGTTGTAATAATTCTTAGTCTTATCAGTGTTAAGATTTAAATGTGGCATAATTCCATGTTCAGCAGAATATTTCAATTATATTTTCTCTAGATTATTGCTGCTCTGCTTATAAATTTTTAGTCATACTTGGTGTTGATAGTTTAAGTGTATCATCATCAAAGTTGATTATTTTGGCTTCACCACATAATGAGAACAGGGTCACTTTAGTTCCCAGAGTCAGACCACCTAAGTGCTCATTGCCCTCTATTGGGAGATTTTTATTTGCCATACCTTTGCCTGGATCCATAGCAAGAATGCACTGTGCTTTTTTACAAAGATGATTTATTGTATTTTTGCACACTGAGACATGACAATAAAAGATGTTTATCATAGGAAGAGACAATAAAATACTAGTTTGGGGCTTCCGTTACCTATATGTGTATATGACAGCCAAACCTGAAGTCAGAAACTAAAGTAAACTGGATATTGAAATGAAGAGAGAATATTGTGCATGAGCTGTGCCTCTTGTTTAGGGTTTAGTTCTTAATACCATCTGATTCATCGGCCTTGTTAATATTTGTGTTGTATTTAGTAAGCTCCTTCTAAGTATGACACACAGATGCTCTTTACCCTTCAAGGCTTGGCTCATGCCACTGTGTGGAGCTTTTCTTGACCCTCCACCCACCTCCGAAAGTGGAAGTAATCTGCCCTTTCTCGTAGTCTACCCCTTTCATGGCACTGACTGGTCTTACAGTTCATTGTTTACATGTTGGTAAAATAAACACAAAGCACTTCTCAACACACCTTTAAAGCTAAATTCATTTTTAAAGCAAAGATCATTAGCCAAGGGCTCCACATTAATCCACTCTAAGAGCACCGACCTGAGAGCCTAACAGCCTTTGTAACCTTGGGCAGGATACTTAACCTCTGCCTCAGCTGCTTCATCTGTAAGGTGGGATAACTTTGTACTATTCTACTTTCCTCATAGGATGGTTATGACAGTAAAATAATACATGTAAAGTATTTAAAACAGTGGCACATAGTATAGGCTACATAAACGTTAAGCTATTTTGTAATTTGGGGGTATTGAAAATTACTGTAGAAATTCCATGAGTCCATGCTGTACTACTATATTGTTCTTTGGGGATTCTTAAGAGGATGACATTTCAGGCTGCAATTTATCACATAAGTCTGTATCACAGGAGTATTTTAATGAAATGACCTTACCAAAAAAAGGAGTTCTTTAAAATGAGAGTGTCAAATATATTGAGTCTTTTGTAGAATAAAAAGTTCTGTTGAGTTGTCTTCTCTGGTATCATGAAGCTTACTGTCCTGTAAAGTAGGTCATCCCCACTATGTGGCTTGGTGCATATGTTTCTCAGGGAACTACAACTTCTGAGAAAGGCTCTGGCCGCTGGGTTTAAGACTGACAGACTCAGTTCTGATCCATAACTGATCGTGCTCTGGTGTTTACCCATTATATATATATAGGTACTATAACTTGCCTATTTGACCGTTTTATGCAGATCCTTCCCAAATGAGCTACGTGGGTTCATGGGCCTTAAGTTTTACTTCCCTTCATTGTCTTAAGCCCCAGTGGGTGATAGTAAGACCACAGATCTGGGAGGGATGGCCCTGCCTGCCACGAGCTTCTAGCCTCTAATGCATTAACCCCTGGCTCCTGGACCTAGGATAGAACTTTGCCCATAGGAGGTATTCACAGCTTCTAAAACTAAGCTGATGTCAGGGAACATAAAAGCATAGAACGTTGACGTGAATTGTCTGGGGCTTTATCAATAGTAATTCTTAAAGCATTTACTGTATGCTGGGTGTGATGAGATGCATAGCAGTCAAGTCACTGAATCCAAACAGCTTCATGAGAGTAGGTAGACTTCCTTTATAGGTGAGTGTGGTTAAGCAACTTGCTTCGGTCACAGCCTTGAGTGGGCAGAGCCTCAAGGGTCCAATTCCAGCCATTTTACCTTTTTTAGTCTAACTTTGCCCTCATCAAACTCCTGTGTGGTGTTTCTTCAGTGAAATTCCCTCTACAGTGTTACCACTCAGGTCCTCGGGTTTAGAAAGGCCTTCCTATTCATTTTCCCTTTTCATTTTCAGAGCAACATTGTGATGTATGATTACCCATTTAATACACAAAGAAAGAAGCTCAGAGACGAGATACTTACCCAAGGGCACACAACTGAAAAGTGATCAAGCCAGGATTCAACCACGGTTACCTGATCTATCCAGAACTGTATATAATAAGATTCCTCAACCTGCACCCCTTTGATAAGCATAAATATTACATGTCTTTCAATACTTTATGAAATAAATACAGCATTCTGAGTCATATCAAAGTGAGGAGACAAGCTGCTCTTCTGTCTTCAAGTTAGTCCTCTGACTAATTACCCATTACCCTAGGCCATCCCCTGTGAGAATCACTGCACTGAGGCCATGCTGCCTGCCCTCCCTGTAGCAGACACTGGGTCATTCAAAGACCTAGTGGAGTTATCAAGGTCATTTACTTGCTCAAAACAGAAATTCGAGCTAGCTTAACTCAAAAAAGGTTATGAGCTGGGTGTTTGAAAGAATCCAAGTCAGAAAAGACAGTCACACTTCACCAGGGAAAAGTGACCCGAGATAAAATCTTCCCTCATGTGGTCTCTCAAGGAGGTAGCTGTTTTCCTGCATCTGCTTGCTCAGCTGTGCACATGGTTGCAAACCCCTGACTGCTTATTGCCTTCCATGGATGGAGAGATCTCTGCCAGTTAGCTGCAATTCTGCGCACGCGCGCGCGCGCACACACACACACACACACACACACACAAGATGGGAAGGGGTGGAGTCATGTACCTGGAAAAGAGATCCACCCACTCAGTGGAGGAGGAGTAGCATTGTTCTTCCTGTTTGAAAGTGATCCAGTGACTAATGACTTGACAGCCTTTAGAGTTTGTGAAGCTCTTTCCGGGTTGTCTCATTTGCTCTTCATAGCATCCTTCAAGGTAATTATTGTAGTCCTTTTTACAGTAGAAAAGCTGAGACTTACAGCTAGGAGGCAATGGAACAGCAATCAAACCCAGGTCTGACTCCAAGTTGACAGTACTACAGATGCCTCTTGAGTAAATGCCTCATCATCTTCTAACCTGTCCAATACGCCACTTTCACTTCCACCATCTTGTTCCGCCTCTTCTCCTTCCACAAGGAAAATGAGGTATCTGAACACTTCACTACACTGCCCTCTGCTTGCCCCCTGCCCCGGTTCATGACAATCAGCCCTTCTCTGTCCACCTCTGCCAGTATCACTAACTGTCTTGTGACCTCCTTTCTTTACCTCTTTAACTTCCAAAATCAAACCACTCGAAGCTGAGTTGGACCCAGAGGTCACCTAAATGTATTACACTTACACAGATGGGAAAACTGAGTCCCAGAAAGAGAAAGGGACCTGCCTGAGGTCATACAGAGGGACAGTTGCAGCCCTCCTCTAGCTTCTTTCCGAACCCCCTCACACCACCTCCACGTATCAAAAACCCTTGATCTCCTACCACTTTCTTTGAACTCCTTACCCCTTCATTTCTAACTTCAGCCCCCTGCAGTTCTGTCCCCAACAGCCTGTGAGGGTACTACCATCCAGATGCCTCATGCCTGCTGCCTGAGGAGGGTAGAGAGCTTTCCCAATGACAGACCCAATTTCCAACCTGCCCTCCTTGATTAAACAGCATCCCTTGGGAGGGACCAAAGGGAGAAGAGGTTACGGTGCTGACTCCTGAGGCAAGGGGCTGCTGGAGCCAGCACTCTGTCCTTGTCAAGAGGACTAGAGATTTGGTGGGTCTCACAATAAGGGTGACCTGGCCTTGTAGCCCAGAAATATGACCACAAGTAAATGCTAAAATATCTTGCAGGCAGCGCTATCACTAGGCCAGCCACTGATGTCATTTGAGACAAATATAGTCTAGAAGAGTCTCTCAGTGTGTGTGGGGGGGGGGATTGTGGGAGCACAAAATAGCACAGGCGTGACTTACCTTTGTGACCTGACACTCACAAGAAGTTGCTAGGCAGAATTAGAACAGTCTGCTAAAATGATGAACTCAGATTGCCCTTTGCTTTTTTGTGTTACTTAACCTAGAATTCCAAATACCGAAAACGTATCCTGATGGTGATAATTCTAAAAGTCTGGGTTTCCTTATCTGTTAAATGAATACAATCAGATTTAAGTAGCCCACTCCACAGGGTGTTTGTAAAGAATGGACAAATAAGAGAGTGCATAAAAGGTACTGAATCAGCATATGAATGAGTAAGACAAAGGATGTGAAGCTGATTGGGTAGGGATGAAGGTAGCCTTTCACAAGCCTGTATGAATTGCCCTAGTCTGTTGCCACCTCAATAAGGGTAGCATTGGAAGTCTGCCTACCCCAGGGAAAGTCACCTCATGGGGAAATGGATAGATGGTGTAAACAACCGCCAACCAGGGGTATTTCCCTCTCACTTTGTGCATTGCTTAACTCAGTATCAGGAGGTTTCCAACTGTCGAGACAGGTGGTACTAAAGTAAGGACAGACAAATAGATCAATCTAACGGAATAGAGTTCTGAAATAGATCTGCACATATGTGGTCGACTGATTATTGCCAAAACTACTAAGGTAATTCAATGAGGAAAGATAGCCTTTTCAAGAAATGGTGCCGGAACAACTGGATATCTGTATAGATAATAATGAACCTCACCTTTATCTCACACAATACACAAAAATGAATGTGAGGTAGACCATAGACCTAAACATGAAAGGTAGACTAACAACTTGAAGAAGAAAATCTCCACAACCTTGGAGTAGGCAAAGATTTCTTAGAAAAGATACAAAAAGCACAAAGCATAAGGAGAAAAAAATGGTAAGTTGAATTTCACAAAAACTAAAAACTTCTCAAAGGACACTTTTTTTTTTTTAAAGAAAGACGAGCCACAGACAAGGAGAAAATATTCATAATTAGTATATGTAATAATGATCTGCATCTAGCATAGGTAAAGAACTCTTACAACTCAATAGTAAGAGGACAAACAATCCAAATTTTCTAATGGGCAAAGGATTTGAATGGCTACTTCACAGAAGATATCTGAATGGCCAGTAAGCACATGATAAGATGCTCGACATCATTGGTCATCAAGGAAATGCAAATTAAACCCACAATGAGACACCAGTACACACACCCATAAAATTCAAGACTCTGAGTAAAAACGTTGATGAGAATGTGGAGCAACTGGAATCCTCTCACATTCCAAAATGGTACAGCATCTTTGGAACACAGTTTGATAGTTTCTCATAAAGTTAAACATAACATCTACCATACAACCTGGCAATTCCACTTCTAGGTATTTTGCTTAAAATAAGTGAAAACATATATCTAAACAGACTTTTATTCAAATATTCAATGTGCATTAAATTTTTCCTCTGTTTGCTTGTGGGGTTTTTTTGTTTGTTTTTTCTTTGTTTTGTTTTGTTTTGTTTTTTACCTCCCAGCAACTGGTTTTCTCATAAGAAAAAAAGGTTGAACATAAAAGTATAAAATGATCCTATTGGTCGCCTATGTTTTAACAACATAGTTTTAGACATTTGTGTTTCCAACTATTGCCCTATTTGGAAAGTATAGTTTATTCTAATTAATCCCTTATTATATATTTAGATTGCTCCAACTTTTTGCTACTAAAGCAGCCTGCAGGAAAAATAATTGACTTTAAATTCTAAAAGCAAATAGTCAAAAAAATTTAAAAAGCAAATTTAAAAAGCAAAAACAAACCAAAAAAAAATCAGAAAAAGGTAGACTTGAAAATGTTGCAAAACTGCCTAGCAGTACGTCAAAAAAAATAGCAATTTAAAAAAGTCACTAACTGATGATATTTATTTTCAAACTAAATTACTAGTTTTCTCTCAGCCAAATTGTACGTTCCCTTTGTATTGTGGAGCTTGGAAATTTAACGCTTCAACAGAGTAAATGCAGAATCACATGTCAGGACATATATACCACCATTTAAAATCTTAACAAGGTAACTGTGTCAGAACTCTCTTGGTTGCAAGCTGGACTTGGGCGTCTAACCAATACAGTACTGTTCAACAGAAAGTAGAAATTTTTAGGAAGCCACAGGGATAGAGCGTCATTCAAGGAAAAGTTGCATAACTGACCCAGGAAAAGTGCAGGAATGTAGCTAGGCTTGCAGTTCAAATAGAACCAGGAATTTAAAACCCACCAGAACAGCGTTTGCTTATATAAGATTCATTGTCACTCTTTGTAAATCAGTTTCTTCCTTGTGCCAGGAAACATGA